TGTGTGAGATGTTTGCACTTGCCTGAATGAGCGCTTGTCGGTGCAGGTGCGTCACCTGATGGACATAAACGATGACACCAGGAAGTCTGGCGGGTTTTCTTTCACCTCGGTGCTGAGTAGTCGTCTGATGGGTCTTTGGCTGGCCAGCAGAGCAGAGATGGACTCAGATGTTCCAGATCAAACCAAACCCTGGTGACCCCATCCATGGACGTAGCTTTTACTTTGGAAGTGGGGGGGACGCAACCAGCATGTGGGGTGGGGGGGTGGGGTCTGTACAGTAATTATACCAAAATATGTATAAAACTACAGCCAAGAGGCTCTTTTATCTAACACAGTACTGTCAAGTTCACAGGTGGCAGGGACGGCCAACCACATGCTAGCAAGGATCAGCAGAGCCAATAGATGAGCTTCTGGATGCTTGTAACGGGAAACAGGCTTCAACACAAGCGGTTGTTTTCCACTTGGTCCTGGTGCTCATCAGTGTCTGTTTAATATGTAGTAATGTTGTTTTTGGACAGTAAAAAGTGCAGGGGACATGTCCCCCCCTGACCCCCCAAAACAACGTCCATGACCCCTTCATTCTTCAAATGTCCAGCAGGAGAACGACAGAACTCCCAGACACCAGAGAGCCTGCTCACCAGCATCTCACTGGGCTCTCATAAACCTAATCATCACTCAGAAGTCTCCACAGGGAGACAACGCGTCCGCTCACAGAACTTATGAATGAGTCCAGGGGTCTCATTTATCAAACATGGCGTAGAAACCTTACTAAACCGTACTGAAGCTCAGCAAACAGATGTTCTTACGCCAAGCAGGTGTGTGATCTATCAAACATGGAGGACGCACAGCTGCACACGATCTCTGCTTCATAAATCAGAAACTATCTAGAAAGGTTCTCAGCTGCATTTTAGTCACATCCCGCCCTCACCACGCCCACTTACTGCCATAAATAGTCAGTGCAAAGTGCCTTGTGGATCTCATGCATATACATAAGCCAGCTGTTGCAGCGCTCCGCCAATGACATGGCGACCGTAGATCAAGGCAGATCAAGGAAGCGCTATTTCACAAGCAGAAGTTGAGGTACCTGTGGGTGAGGTGGAGAAATGAAAGGAAGTGCTTTTGCAAAACAAATAAGAGAAAATCCACGGAGTGGCACAGCGTTGCTGAAGCCGTCAATGCTGTGTTCTTCAGAGAGATCTGTGGCGGATATAAAAAAAATGGTCCAATCAGGATTTGATCTCCAGACTCCCAGGTGAAAGTCACGAGTGCTAACCAGTCACCCAAACAGAGACCTGCCCTGTCCAAGTAGCCAGGGTGCATGATCAATCGGGTCACAGTGACAGGACACACACTGTCACACACGCATGATGTTCTGTCTCTAGAACTAGAACTAGAAAACACCTGACTCGCCCTCAACGTTAATCTCCTTTTCCTGATTATAGTCGTTCCCTCAGCCGTGTGTGTGTGTGTGTGTGTGTGTGTGGGGGGGGGGGGGGGGGGGGGGTACAAGTGATAATGCTGCAGGATTTCATTATTTTATCCTTCTCAGCAGCAGCACTGCAGGTGCTCTCCATGTCCAGCATGTGTGTAAGCCAGGTCCTGAGTCAACTTAAAGTTACACACATTTTTCCGCTAAGTTTTCTTTCATAAATCCCAAAGTTTGCGTGGAAAGTTGCTTACGCAGTTTTCCGACCCCGTTTTGTGCGTAAGCTAGCTTGATGAATGAGGCGCCAGCTCCTTCCTCGGGCTGTGGAAGTATGGAAAGACAACTTTATTCATGGGTGTATTTAATCAAACTGCCTTCAGCTGAGGATTTAACTCTGCTGTTATCCTCGCACCCAGATCCCGGCACTCACCTCGGTTCCTGGCACTACCTCCCCCTGAGGGCTTTCATGCCATGATGACATTTTTTCCTTGTTTTTACTATCCGTGCCTCCATTCCTCCCCGCCCCTCCCTGCCAGCCCCCCAGCCCTGTGCCTCTACACTCAGGGGATTACTGTGAGCCCACGAGACTGAATTGGGAATGAAGAGAGCAGGTCCAGGCCCGTTTGTTGAGTCCCAGACTTATGGGCAGTGTCTACATGGAAAATTAAACACACACACTGTACACATGAAAACACTGAACCCACTGACACGCAGCCACAGCTGAAACACTCCGGCATGGAGTGACACGCGGCACGCTAACGGGGTGGCAGCCAGGCACCTTCCAGGTCCCTCTTTGGAAAGTATTTAAAACTTAACGCCAAGAAACGTTTTGTTTTTCACCTTGAAAGGAGGTTCTGACTGATGTGCTGCCAAGTGTTGACTCATTATGATGCTAGCGGACAATGTGTACTGCATTATGTTAACGAGGCAGATGCATTGGGATCGATCCCCCAAACACAGAATCCTAACGAGGAAAACACGAGCTCTGACCACTGACAAGAACAATGAAATCAACAACGCCTCCACTCCCTTTTTGTTCTCTTATTAAAAAAGAGGCTCGTAAATCTGTCGCGTGGTTAATCAGGCGGTCTCCTCCTACCCTCGCTCGTCCCTCAGCAGCTGCTTCCTCTCCAGTCCTGCAGCACTTTTATGGGATCAGAACAAAACGCTGAGCTGGCATATCCTAACAAAGACAAGCACATTCCTGCGAAGAGAAATCAAGCTGGCTGACTATCTATTACCCAGAAAAAAGGCGTTTACATGGAGCCCTGCAGCAGTTCACGGTCGAGCAGGTGTTTACCGCCAACAGGATCCACGTGCCGAGTTGGACTGCATGAGTAACCTGAAGATTATTCTGTTGTTGCTTTTCATCACTTTTGACATAATTGGTCTTTTAATTGGACTCGTGTGCAGCTCGCCTCACTAACAGAATGAAAGCTGCTCTTCACATCACCACGCTTGAAACTTTTTGTTGTTGTTTGTTTTTTCCTCTTTGTCACTTTTCAGGTCTGATCAGCTGATCTCCACACCGCCTGGCTGTCGAATGCTGTTTTGGTTTGGGTTTATTACACCTTGGACAACATTTGCAATTATATGCCCTCTGCTGATGATTTGGTCTGAAGTGGTGGGAAGTGATCTGGGATAAATCCTGGAGGCTCAGACGGAGGCCGTAATAACAGACACTGATGTCCTGCAGCCGCTCAGCTGGACAAACACACAGCTGCTCGAATCCATTGTTGTTCCAGCTGCACGTGCACACACACACACACATGTGCATGCATGCATACACTCACACATACAAGCAACCACACACACACACACGCGCACACACACACACATGTGCATGCATGCATACACTCACACATACAAGCAACCACACACACACACACACGCACACATGCACATGCATGCATACACTCACACATACAAGCAACCACACACACACACACACACACACACACACACACATGCACACGCACACATAGCACCCACCCACACACACACACACATGCACATGCATGCATACACTCACACATACAATTAACCAAACACACACACACACACACACACACACACACATGCGCATGCATGCATACACTCACACATACAAGCAACCACACACACACACACACACGCGCACACATGCGCATGCATGCATACACTCACACATACAAGCAACCAAACACACACACACACACACACACACATGTGCATGCATGCATACACTCACACATACAAGCAACCAAACACACACACACACACACACACACACACACATGCACATGCACACATAGCACCCACCCACACACACACACACATGCACATGCATGCATATACTCACACATACAAGCAACCAAACACACACACACACACACACACACACACACACACACACACACACATAGCACACACACACACACACACACAATGCTTCATGGCAAATAACCTTAAACAGGTAGAAAGCCTGATTGGTTGCATTTACCATGACATTGTGTGAATGGGTGAATGACTGCTGCGTTCTAAAGCACCTTGGGGGGATGTTAGAACTCTGGAAGGTGCTATCAGATTACAGGACATTCATAGCGAGGATCGTATATCTGCAGAATGAGCAATGACGCTGCTGGCCTGTGTGGGTAGAAATCCCCTCAACGCTCAAATCCCCATCCAGGTGAGTAGGAGGGACTTTCATCCAGGTGAGTAGGAAGGACTTTTATCCAGGTGAGTAGGAGGGACTTTCATCCAGGTGAGTAGGAAGGACTTTTATCCAGGTGAGTAGGAGGGACTTTCATCCAGGTGAGTAGGAGGGACTTTCAGACTCACATCCAATCTCTCGGTTCCGAAATCTAAACATGGCAGCTCCTGTAAACCTCCTCCTGGCTTCACTTCCTAACCATTTAAACTATTAATATCAACATTTAGTTGGAGTGAAAACCCTTGAAGCTACAAAGAAGCTTCATCTTCTGGATGAGGAATAACAACTCTCCGACAGGTGAGCTGCAGAAGAGTCACACAGAGCTGATGACAGTATTTACAGGTCCACTGAAGTCTGAGCCGAGCTGACAGCTTTTCTCCTCACCACCGATGTTTATCAGCGTCCGAGCCAGCCACGCGTGTCTCTGTCCGTGTGTCCGTCTGTCCTCGCTCGTGCTTTTGATTCTTCATCAGCTCTCCAGAGCATCTCTCAACCCTGAACTTGAAACAAACACGTCACCTGAAACAGAAAACTTGACTTGGGTGCTGGACATGTTCTGCTGGAGGGGCACATGTCACTTACAGGGAAAGCCCGTATATTAGCCAGAAGGAATGGTATTTCCCTCTTTGCCAGATGGTGACGGCAGTCTCTTGTCATGCAAATGGCCAGTAGCTCAAATCACAGCTTTAAATAGAGGCTCAAAGCTGGCGGTGAAACTTAAAAAGCCTTCAAAGAGAAAACTACAAAGGGAAAGTCTGATGCAGCGTGTGAGCGTGTCTGATTGTGGGTTAACAGCATGCTGCCGTCTGACTCACTCACGGTCCTCAGTGAGAAATGTTTCCTAAAAAAGGAAAAGAACCAATTTAATGTCAGGCCTGGCTT